ATATTGTCTAGTATAGACCTGTTAATGACTTATTTGTTGCTAGAAGCAGAAAGTGAAATGAAAAGTAAATTTGTACGAATTTGATAAAAATTTCTTCATTTAGTACATTATTTGGAATATTCACTTATGTATGTCGGTAAAAAATTGAGTTGCTTCAAAAATAGGGGTCATAACGTTTTCCACTTCTAGCCTAATGTTACGTAATAAATAAATATTCTAAAATTTTAATTCTTTTGATGAAAAAATAATTGTGAAATTGGCATTTCTTTTCTTGTTCGTCTCCATTTCTAGACAAAGCAGCGGTTGATTTTGTTTTTTTTTTTACGCATGCGTGTGTACGCCCACTCAACCGCAAATACTTACTCTACCATAAAAGAATAGCAAGCAGACAAAATAAATACATAAATATATGCTTCTGTGCGTAAGTAGTTTATTAGTCCCTTTCATTCGTCATATTCGAGTATATACATTAGACCGTACCACCTTACAAGCACACAAAAAAAAAACGTTCACGCACACCTCTTAGTCTAAAGTTTTTGCAAGGAAATTTCGAAAACATTTCTTTTGCCGAACATCTTTTGGCGGTACCTATACTCTGCAATCGATTTTTTTCAAATAGTTTCACTGGAATAATTAAGCCAAATCCTTCACTATTTCTGATTAGCTTTAACCTACTGGCATTAGGGTGCTAGGAACTAAAACTGGTGGGTAAGTACTAGAAGGGGATACTTGAGAGCAATTAACTTTGAAAAAAAAGGTTTCTCCTTGAGACAAAAATATCGCTACATCATACATTAAGGTCCGACTTTGAAGGCCGAACACATGACAAAAATTATAAAAGGGCAACTCCTAACTACATTCGGCCAAAAAATAAAAAATTATTTTTTTTTTGAAATAGCTTTGCAAAAATATATTAAACTTTTTTCCGGTACGGTCTAATGTACACATACAAATGTATGTATATTTGTTTTGCCACTTTTATTACAAAATTTAATATACTTAAGTATTTTTCTCACAAAAAAAAAAAAATTAGTTATGTTGTAATTTCAAGTTTACTACAAGTATTGTGTGAATTGTAGTGGAAAATATTCGTGCAAAAAGCTGCAACACCACCTATACTAAGTGTGTAGATTTTTATGCTATTAACCAGCTAATTTGCGCTTCCGTCTTCAAAACGATTTCACAGCAAAAAAATTATAATTTTTAATGTGAACTAATTTATCCAGTTTGTTTTAAAGTTCTATGCTCAAGAAACAATGTTTTGCTTAATTGAAGCTTTAATGAATTTGTTACACGCATAACTTTTGTATAAATATTTATACAAAATACACGTGCTTAAGTAAAAAAATGAGAATTTCGTAAACTGGTCGTGTGTCAAATTATTAGAATGCAAAGTTTTTTTAGTAAAATTAAACAACCGAACATTGAACTTCTGTTTAAATTGTTCGAAAGCAAAAAGGAAAAGGTATTTTGAGTGTAGATTTCCCTTCTATTTAGAATTCGCTTGTGTTGTCGATCAAGGATAAGTTAAATAAAAATAACTTAATAGTAAAAACATATATTTTTAAAGCAAACTTGAACGAAATCGGACTATAAATACTGGTTTACCAAATATCTCGACTGCTGCGCCACCTATCGGATTAACTCATCTTTCGTATTGCATTGCCATCGGATTCTGAGCCAACTGTGAAGTTTCAGGTATCTCTTGCACATCGGGAAGTTGGTCAAAAGTTGATAGCAAAATTTGCCCCAAACAAACATACTTACATATCGATGGCTGAGTGGAAGATCGACCTATCTCGGCTGCCAGTTCGAAAACGCTCTATCTCAAAAAACTTTTCAAGAACGCCCTATTTCAGAATTTTATTGAAAAACACCCTATCTCAAAATTCGGTTCAAAAATGCCCTATCTCACTTCAAAATGTATTGAAAATATGCTGTTATAGGGCGTTTTTGAATCGGCAGCTGAGATAGGGCGTTTTTCAAACGAATTCTGAAATAGAGCGTTCTTGAAAAGTTTTTTGAGATAGAATGTTTTCGAACTGGCTGCCGAGATAGGTCGATCTTCCACTCAGCCATCGATATATACATACATACAGAGCAAGTTAAATAAAAGCTTATAAAAATGTTTGTCTTGTCACTAAAACGGAGTGACCTGCAAGTTAAGGTTATCATAGATGCTACTTTTATCTTGGGAGCGCCTTTACTTTCATTGATCCTTGAAGTAAGTATATTTCCATTTTGATACTGGTTATGAGTTTTTGGCTAACGAAACGACTAGCGCAAGCTTTCTTATGAATAAACAAGAAAATGGTAATGATAACCAGGCTGGCAAATCTAAGCGATACCTGGAAAAAACTTTTTTTTTATATGTCTGACAGATCTGTTGTTTTGTGCATGTATTTATTTTCATATATGGCAACAATATCATGCAGTTTGATAATAACTTCTGCAATTTTATCATCAAAAAGTTATTCTTGTTCTGCAAGAAGTTTCGAAGAGTATTTCTGGGATATCTGACACACTTTGCATGGTGAGAGAATCTTCTGATAATATCCTAGAATCAGCAAAAAAAAAACATTACGCTAATACAATAATTACGCTCTCACAGCCGCATTAATATTACTTAAACTACTACGAGACTTGTCATTCAAACCATGCAGGGACTCTGTTCTCATACAAAATTTTATAGAATTTTCGAAATGGCTACGAATGACGCTGAATAGTTGGATCTCGAATATCCTTTTGAGCCTAGAAAATTGCTCCCCGCTAAGAGAAAACCGATTGTCCTAAGCCAAGAGTGAAATTACCATCGGTGCCGAAAAGACTACGTCAAAGTTTTGGACTTAGGTACTTTCAAAAGAATTAGAAGAAAAATTTGATCAAGAAGGTAAACAACGGAAATAATAATTTCACAAAAATTATAAAAAAATAAAAAAATTTTATACAAAAGTTTTCCTTACAGGTATTCATTTCTATTTGAACTCTTAATAATAGAATCCATTTTTCTATGTTTATATGGATGTAGATAATTACAACGTGCTACAAAGCTCCAAAAAAAATCAAAACCAAAAAAATAAATATACACACAAAAAGGCAATTTGCAGTGCCTGTTCATCCTTCTTTAAAACTTAACCTCTATACTTAGCTACCGTTGTATGGGAAAAAAATTTAAATATTGAAAGAATTTATTTCGCGAAGAAACCTAAAAGCAAACTTTGGTAATATTTGAAAAACAAACCACCTCGGTTTTAAATTTTTGCAGATTGTGAGGAGAATCGTTTATAATACATTGACATTCAAGACTTTACTGATTCGCAAGGACGAACATATATAGCAATCTACATTTTCTTGAGAAATGCACTCATATTTTTCTCTAGAGAACATGACTGGCTTTTTGCCAACAGCAAGCGCAAAGATTTGCGCTAAATGATATTTAATGATGTTTAAGAATAAAAATGCACTAAAATATTGCTATGTACATATATGTATTTATATGGATGTTCTTGCAGGGAACGTAACAGTTACAACTTTTATTAAAAAAATGCTTTATAAATTCAGAATAACAATTATTTTTCATTCTTATCTAAATATTCTGCAAATAACAGTTATTTTTGATTTTTAAATTATATGTCTCAGATAACAGTTATCGAAGTCTTTTATTTATAAAAGTCATAAATAAAAATCAGTCATTGACCTTTATTTTTTAAATCATACTTATAAAAGTCGTTTCATTATTTAAAAGTCGTAGTAAACTTTCGTTTCCCAACACCTTTTTGAGTGCGAAAAATTTTAATGACTTTTATACGAATGATTTAAAAAACAAAAGTCGGTGACTGTATTATATTGATGACTTCGATAAATAAAAATCTTCAATAACTGTTATTTAAGACATATAATATAAAAATCAAAAATAATTGTTATTTTGGATTTATAAAATAAAAATCAAAAAAAATTGTTTTTTTTTTTTAATTTCGCATAAAAATTGCAAATAAAAATTTATTTTCAAATTTGATTCTCGGTAAAAAATGAATCGATTGGTATGTATCACTTAATTTTCATCAATAACTGTTATGTTCGGTCCCTGTGTTCTTGTCATGTGTAAGCCTCCACAAAAAATTCATAGCAACACCCGTCGCCGCATCATAAAATAACTTACGCCCGAAGCTTGAAAAAATGTAGATGTATTATCTTCTATCAAACCACATTGATAAAAATGAATGCAAAATATAAAGTGCTTCACATACGAAACGGAAACGTGCCTAAATTAATGGAGTGCAACTATACGATAGGCTTTTTTTAAATACATTCATTTATGTAAATACATATATATGCAATGCATACAAAAATTTCCAAATCATTCACTTTCCATTACTCTCCAAATAACTGTCTAACTAAATATAAATAACTTACCTTGACAGTTGGCAACGGCCAATGAAGAAATCAACAGCAGTGCAACTGACAGCTGAAGAAATGTCCGCGAAAATCCTATGCGGTGCGTGGACATTTGACGCGTACTGAAAGCCGCAGCAACGGTGATTACTTTTCCACGCTTCTTGTCAGGATTTGTGAAAATTTCGACAAAGTCGAAATTAAAATTATTTAAGTTTTTGTGAAAAATTGGTGTCATTTTGATGCTATTACGATTAATGAGAGATTGTCAAACTATGTTGGCTTGTTGTGGCAGGCAATCGATAGCAGTGGCGTGGGCTTTTCGTTTTTCACTTTTCTCACTAAGGTGCTGCAGCAGCTGTCGCATTTACCTTTCGAATACACAAACTGCAAAATGTTGTTGAACTTCTTTTGCATGTAAATGCTGTATGTATGTATGTATATATGTAGGTGATGTGCCGCGTCGCTTTGATCCCACAAAGCGCTGTTTTTTTTGTGACGACTAACTATGGCGTTGGCGCCACTGCCACACTCAAATACTAGTGCAAATATTTTCGAGTTATTTTTTGTTTGGTTTGCTAGTTAGCTTAGCTAGAGCTGCTGTTTTGTTTTTTGCGTGCCGCGCTTGTGGACAACACTCGGTGCAGTTGCTGTGTTTTTTTTTTCTTTTTGAATTTTAGGCTTTCGGTTATACAGCTGGTCTGCACGTTTCGTTGGTAAATCACTTGCCGCTATTAAATACAATTACAATCGTTATTTTCGTTTGTTTGTTGTTTTGTTTGTGTTTTCCCATTTCTTGGTTAACTCAAATTTTAGTTGCCGTCGACGATTATGTGAGCAACGTTGGCTGGGCTGTTGCTTTTGGCGCTCGCCTAAACATTTTTAGACATTCACCAGCTAAATTGAAATGCTCGTGTGTGATCGGGCGCGTAATTAATTTTACTAACTTGTATTTTATTTTGTTTATTTTTTGTTTTTTTTTTTACAAAAATTATTGTTTTACTTTTTTTCATAAATTTTTTCACTTCGCTTGCTGTTACATCTGCAATGCATACATACAAACATTCAAGGCTAAATACCTTCAAAGAAATAACAATAAAGTCTCGCGTAATGCGTGTTTAAATTTTCGCATGCAAAAACTGCATAATTTTAATGAATTTACTAAATGCAAGGGAATTGAATAGTTATTAAATCATGTTTGCTTGCACTTTTGAATACAATTGCCAGTCGCGCTGCAATGTGAAAATTTCTCAAACTTTGCATTGTACAATAATTCAAGAGAAGTTCGCGCCTTAAGTCTTTCGATTCGTTGTGTGATCTGTGAAGAGACTAATGAATTTACAGGCGTTAAATTTTTAAATATTTCCCCACGCTTTCTATGGCACCTGCAACCTTGAGTGACAGCTTTATGCTTCACAAAAATTCGTATTGTTGTATGACAGCAAAATTTGCAATAAAAACAGATAAAATATGGTTTCGAATATATATAAAAAAAAATTCTTAGTAACAATCATAAATTGTTTTCAAGATTTTTTTCAATACTTGGAAAGTACGTGCATATTTTGAAGAAACCAAAAAAAAAAGGAACCACCCTGGCCATCATATTAAAAACCCAAAAAATAATAAAAAATAAATAAATAAAACATTTATTTTTGCAAGTCCAAGTTGCAATTTCATGCCTCCAATACCTCTTCCAACAACGTCGCAAAACCAATCCTAATGGCTTAAAAAAGTTGTAATTCGCGCTCGCATTTTTAAAACGGGTTTTCCAATTTATGTTATGAGCTTTGATGTTGTCAGACAAAAGAAAGCTACGTACCTCTGGAGATCATTAGGAATTAATTTCCAAGAGCATCTCAGGTTAAGTTAAGGAGTGCGAGCCAAAATATTCCTACCTTACCTTCCCACAGTGCTAAGTAGATTGCGCATCATCTTCCTCCTGCCAGCTGCGGCAGCAGAGTTCAGATAAAATTTCTAGCCTTACTGCGTGAATGCCAATCAGACAATGACCTGTGAAAATTAATTTCTCAAATATCCCATGTTGGTGATTTTAAATGTTTTTTTTTTTTCAATTTTAAGTTGACGGTCGCACTCAAAGAAACACGAATTCATATAAACATTTGTGCTATTTTCTTTTGGCTTGTTGATGTTTCCAACAGAGTAGAACTTTGATGTAATGTAGGCGGTTTTCCATCGTCCTTTACAAAATTTGTTTTGGATATAAACAGTACGAACAGTGCCACTGAAGATGGCAAAACGCCAACCAAATTTGGCAAGGGATGACGGAAAATCGCTGCCAATCCATCACTTCGACTATCCTTTTAGAGCAGGATGTGCCCTGAAGTTGAATGGACGTGCAAACACCAAATACATTTAAACTTTGCCATTGTAATTCACACACTCCCTATCATACGCAAGTCAACAACAGAATCTACGTTGAAGATAACTGTCGCCAATCTGTGCCAACAAAGTATACGAAAGTGTTGCTGCTTTCACCGCTGTCACTTGGGTATTCGCAAAGGAAACAATAACAAAATGTGAAAAAGCCAAAACGATTTATGTATTTTGCATCGCTTAGTGCGAAGTACTGTGTATGTAAGTGTAGCTGTAAATACGGTGAAGGTTGTGACTGCTGTTAGCATTCTTTGAAGAGCAGCGAGCTCCTATTTTACGAAGTTTAGGTTGAAGTCCTTTTTTTTGTATCCGGTTTACGAAGTATTCCGCTCCATTTAAGGGCTTTATTTTATGCGAAATTTTATGTCAATGAAATCAAGATACTTCTCATAATTTATGAGTCATTCGGCTTTCAGTTTGGTATGTATCTCTAAAATGAAAAAGTAACTGAAAGAACAAGACTATAAGTAAACCTCATTTAATTTTTAGAGGTGACGTAGAATTGTACAGGCAACAACAAGGACCACGAAATATGTACATATATTAAAAAAAAAACAGCGCGTTCAGTTTTTATTCTGCAACATAATTAGATTGTTTTCATGTTTTTTTTTTTACAATTATCAATTTATAAGCCATTGAAAATTGAAAGTAATAAAGCAAGTTTTGCGAATTCGGTACCCAATTTGTAATGCAAGTTTAAATTTTTGGCTTTAAAAGCGAAAATAATGGTAATTTTTAAAATTTCTTTTCAAAATTTGTCTACTTCTTTAAAACTCCAAATGTTGGTTTCTCAGTTGGTATTTAATCTTAAAGGAAAGACTCAAATAACAAACTTTTAAAATTAACTAAAGTTAGTTAAATAGTAAATCCCGTGCCGGATTAAGGGCACAGCCGACGGGGCCGCGACCCATGGCTTCCACATGTGATGACGGAAGAACAAAAAAATAATTTTTAGAGATTACAAAAAGACAAGATATCCATCTCTGTTCATAAACGAGCCTGCTGGGGTCAGTCATTTAATACTGCATCTAATATGAGCGGCAAATACAAAGGAAGGTAATTACTAACTTAAAAAGGGTCCAACTTATATAACGGCCTCGGGCCTCGGCTCAGAGTAAATCATTGAAGTAACATTGGTATATATGGAATAGGCCAAAGTGGTGGAACCGAGAGCGAAGACTACGTACAACAAAGGGCATGCAATGAAAGTTGTTTCCTGTTTTCGGCTGATCTGCCCGCTCGTCGGGCCTAGCTCGATAAATAATCTGTTCGAAAATTTGTTTCAATGGATGTACAAAGATAGTTAGTATACGATTAAAGTGAACGGCAAGTTTATCAAAACACTGTAAAGATGGAAAGATATACAATAGACAGGGAACGAAATGGTTGATCTTTTTATGAAATTACATATTTTAACCGCTAAAATTGGGCTTTTATTTTATTTATTTATGCAAGGTTTCAAGGTTTCAAGGTTTCAAACACAACAACCATTAAATTTAACCGTTGCTTTACGATTTGTCGATCAAGAATACTCGTCATTTTTTGGTTATTTATTTTTCGATAAATTTCGATAGTTATTTTGGATTTATATTGTATATTATATCATGTGATAATCGTTACTTTCAGATTTAATTTTATTTATCATAAAACATTTCAAATGTTTATAAAAACTCCGTCTTCATTTTAAGGGTTATTATTTTGTATCGAAAAAAAATTACAAAATCACGATACAGTTTGATCGATAAAATAAATATCCAAAAACGATTATTCTTGACCAAACAAATAAAAATAAAAGCAAATGTTGTAATTTGTATCAAAAAAACAATAACCTCATATAAAAGTTTAGAATTACCGTTAGTTTCTTCATGATCCTATGGTCTTCCTCTTTTTTAACTTAGTGAAAAAACTAACAATTTTTCAGTGATTTAACAAATACATTTTTTTTTTTTATTATTTAGTGGTTATTTGCAGTTCCTGCGATAGACTAATGCGCCACTAATAACCCCTCAATGGGGAATAAATTGAGGATATACTTATATTTAAAGAATGGAGATCGCATAAAATAAGATTTTTTTCCAAACATTTCTATGTAAAGTTTACTTCTAACGATAGACACAAGGGAATTGCAATTTCGACTATGAAGCGACTGTTTCTATACAAAGAGGCTTAATGCAGGTATTCTTTGAAATATGCAGAATCTCCGACTCCATAACTAAAGAGATCTGCTTTGGCAGAGACCTTCAAGTGAAAAGTCCAGATCTCATCTAGTGTAAGCGTCAAATATTTTTTTTTTTTAGATGACTCATAGTGTTCAAGGCTAAGGGACTAGCAATCTTAACTTACGCAAATTAAACCTCGAAAAGGGTTGGATGTGCGCATGCCTAGTCAGATAGCCAAGCAGCCATCCGGGCCTTCTGAGACAGGATAGTGAAATCCAAATTTGACTACTACTACTTGACTGCTAGATCGAAGGCGATGAGGTCGCTGACGAGTTGGCGCGAGAAGGATCTTTGACTGCCTTTTTAGGGCCGGAACAATTTTTGGTCTCAGTTGGTCGTCTTCGAGAACCATAATTACCGAGTGGGTTCACTCTGAATGTAGTAAGTACTGGGTAGATGGGGGCCATAGACAGGTCCGGCTCTTCGAGGACTATTTTTAGAGCTAAAATACACCGTTCAGGTTGCGCTGTCTCCTCTGCTGGTATACCCATGCTTTTAACTAACTAATTGACTAAAAACACGCGCATTTATTATTAGCCACATTTCCTCCAGTATGGTTTTTCGACAGCGTTCCTTCGAAACTATGCTCCAATGCGGCAGATCAGTTTTCAAAATATGTAAAAAAAAATATTACTGAGCTTAATCTAATATTGCTTTAATTTAATAATATTTACTTAAGTAATACATTTTTTTTAAGTTTGTGCCTTAAGTCTTTCGTTTGGAGTTGTCGAAAACGTCTTGAAAATAAGTATTAAAATATTTTCATAGTTTTACAAGACGTTATAAGCACTTTTTAATTTATTTCATGTGAAACAATTTTGTTTTCCATTTCCAAACAAGTTTATAGTTTCTTTATTTTTCGTTAATCCGCTTGTGTGTTTCCTGCTCGCATGTCTACAACTTTACTTCCTTTCACTTTAATGTAGTTTTAAATTCAACAGCCCACCCCTTCGCCAGCTAGTACCTTATTAAGCATGTTTTCTTCCACAAATTGACCTCGTGTAACTATTTCATAAAAAAAAAACAAAAACGAGGAAAAAACACGGACAATAAATAATCGCATGTGCTTTGCTCATTCCTACATATATATGCAACACACATTCATAATACTTTGGTGTGAATAGGCAAGTTTTTATGCATTCAATGAATATTTCCAAAATCAGATAATTTTCGATTTTATTTATGCCTAGTAGTGCTATTTTTTGTTTTTTTTTCTTTTTTTTTTTTGCTTGCCTTAATTTTTATATATTTCTAGCCACGCAACTTGCTCGCATTTTTCATTGTTCCTTTCATTAACACTTCCAATATAATATAATTGCAATTTTTGTATACTATGTGCACCCACACATACGCAAAATGCTCTCAAAAGCGGCCAACGCGAAGGTGGTTTGGATATTAATTTGTTACTTTCAAACACAAATGTTGTTGGCTTTGCACTTATTTAGCTCACTGTTACATTTTTGTTTTTACAGAAGGTTTGGTGTATTCACATTGCTAGCGCAAGTAGTTTGTGTCTGAATATGTCAACTTTTGCATTTAATGTTTTAGCGCATTTTGGTTTTTTTCTATTTTTTTATTTTTTGCTTAGCAGACGTAAATCGGCGCGTTATGCATTTATTTAATGCAAAAAGCGCACAAATTCAAAATCACTTTAATAATGAGTTCCAAAATATATACTTCTAAGTACCCGCTGATTCCTTGTTTGCTGGCCATTTACAGAATCATTACCGACATCGGTTAACACTCAAAGCGCTCGCTGCGCATACTCAACACGCCCGGATACGTCAGCACGGAATGAAAGTTGAATCGTAACTGGTTGTGCTTACGAGCTCATGAAGTCATAACAACGAGGCCTGTCTCTGTGCGGATAGCGCAAAAGCCACTACCACCAATACCGCGCCAATACAATGGCCACAAACTGGCGTCCACAATTACCAGCAGCGACAGAGTCACCAACTTTGCCCGTACGACCACAGCTGCTACCTCAGAGTCTCTGCCTGGCGCGAAGTACAAGTCCACAGCTGAGTGTTGCCAATATTGGCTACGGCTACTGTTGCTAATTCCATGATCATTGCTGCTTTATCTCTTCTTTATTTGTTGCTCGAACTTTGCTGCTGTCGTTGCGGCTGCGCAGTGTGCATTGTTCGTGTTTTATTTTTTTCATTGTGCCGCTGCGTCTACGTAATTGCAAAGCAGTTGTAGTATTTCTTGTTTATGTCGGTAACTCAATTTTTCACATCATTTTTTTTTTTGTTTTTAGTCAGGCCTAGTCAGTATCTAAGCTCACCGTTTTCAGTGAAGTTGTTTTCGTTTGTTATGCACTCATTTGTTGGCTTTTATTTAGCTCTTTAAGTGAGAGCAGAGCGCATAAGCGTTGCGAGTGAGCGATTTTTTAATACTTTTTTTGAAGCTGTTTACTTTGCAAACCTCTACGTTGAATGTTGCCTCTGTTTATGTAGCATTTATGTCGCGATTTCCCACAATACAATTGGGCTAACAATTAGTTGTGCAGAGTTACCAGCTTTTTGTGTGTTTCAAGTTGCATTGCAATTTAGTGAAATCTTTTGTCTTCAAGAAAAATTTTCATTATTAACTTTTTGACATTTGTTGATTTTTCCTATCGAATGAAGCCCTCCATAAACCAACTTCTCGGCCCTTCAGCCTTGTAAGTCCACAGTTGACCAGATTTGAACAGTGCATGCACCTGGCATCTCCACTGCCTTGATTGGGAGGGTGCCTCTTCACGGCTGGTTGATTTTCTCGCTAGGAAAAAGGCAGACGTCAGCGCTACAGAAGAGAAGCAGTCACATGATTTTTATGAAAAAATTACAAAAAATTTTACTTTAAAAACCTTGCAAATATTTTACAAAAGTCATCAGTACTCATGTCTGCTCCCCACTGTAGCTGGACTACAGGGCAATGGAATGTGCCGAAAATTCTGAAAAACTAAAATATAAATGGAGCATTCCATCGTTGGTACGAACAAATCGTGCGAATTTTTTCAGCTTATGATTCTTAAAAAGACAAAGTAAAAAGTTGTATATTATAAAAGCCGACAAGCAAAATAAACTTAAAGTAGGTGCTTACAAACAGCACATTTTTGGTTTATAAAACGCTTGAAAAAAATCGTAAAATAATCGAAATGGCACCCTTTTTTTAGCGTATGAATAAAAATGTAGAGGATTTGAAAATGCTGTAATTCTTTTATTTAATTTTTTTTTTTCAAAATTTTATTTTTGATGGATAAATGCATACAGATGTTCTGGGAACATTTCTGCATCAAAAATAAAATTTTGAAAAAATGTCGCTGGCGTCTTTTTGGCGGTTAGGGCTCGATAAGTTAGTGTGTGGCCGAGCTTCTCTTTCGTTTTGTGGGCTTGATGTTGTCACACAAAGGGAAGGCACCCACAGTTATACGCCGACTCCGAATGGCGATTGTATTTTTATGAGAAGCTGTTTTTCATGGCAGAAATACACTCGGAGGTTTGCCATTGCCTGCCGAGGAAAAACCTTTTTTCTATATTTTTTTGTCCAGGCGTTGCGGAGTGGAAGTGCGCACTGCTAACCACTACACCACAACGGTGGCCCAATGAATACTTTTTATTAAAGTTCCGCGAATGAATATAGTTTTTGCGTGAAAGGGGATGGTTTCTTGTCTCTGCTTGGGATTCATCAAGAGATGCTCCGACCTTAGCCTTTTGTTTTCCATGTATGCTGCTGTGGCCGAAAACGTAGATGAAAAGCTTATATATTGCCTCGGCGGTCGACTCTTACGCGCTTGTGAAAATATATGCATTTTGTACGCCTACGCAGGTTCTCTCTTATCTTTTGCAAGCCCTCTCGAGTCCCGGAACTGGCATTTGGAGGATGCTAGCAAAGTTCGGTAGGAGAAACGAGAGGGAGACATTCAGCATCTCAGAGAACACCCTTGCACTCACACCACAGTCCATTTTGGACCCGTCAAAATAGATTTCCTGGGAACTCTCCTCAACTATCCAGCCCCGTCTCCAAATCCCGTCTAGAAGGAAACTTCACCTGAAAGTTTTTCCTGAAATCTATCGTAGGAGTTATATAATCTGATTGTTTCTCTGATTCGATAAGCTTATCAGGAATACCACTCTGATCTTGATTTAATAAGCTGTATAGGCTTTAAGTACTGTTACTTCAACATAAATATTTCTAAATGAGTAGAACATAAAGTTCTGTTCACCTCTTCTAGGGTGCGTTAGCTACAAGGAAAGCAGTTATTAACTAATTACTATAACTATTTACATCCATATTCATGGCAACACAGTCACCACACGCACAGTCTCTGCATACAATAATTTCAAGGTGCATCTTGAGAAAACATTTTACATATGAGAAAAGACCAATGTAATTAAATGCGCAGGCGAAATGTCAGACACTCATTTGCTAAAATAACTGTCACATCTCAAAATACGATTTTTTTTTTTGTAGCAGACACGTTTAAATTCCACAATTCGCTCTCACCGTGCAAAGACTGCATCTCGCATATTCCTTTCTCGCACAAAAACCAGACTAGAATGAAGCATGGAGTTTTTACATAATACGCAGCATGATACAATGAGTAGGTTAACATCAGTAAATCAAATATCTCGCTTTTTGACTTGTGACAATCTTTTCGTAAATACGCGACATGTATATCCATAAAAAAAAAAAAAATTGTGTGCGAGAACTTGTCTAAATATTTATGTACTTTTTCGCAATCGACCGTTATATTGTATAAATAGTTATTATTTGTATATGTATTAATATGAAACTTAATTACATTAGTAACGGTTTTTTGCCATTTCATTGTTTGTTATTATATGCACTTTTGTATGTATGTATGTGCATACTTGCATGCTTTTACATTAACTTGAATCTTAAGCAGCCTGTAAGCAATTACATACTTAAAGCCAAACACCTCTAAAATCAAGCCATTGCATTTGCCTGTATGTGGGAACTAAAAAGTTATTACATATGTATATACAAACGAGGGGAAGCTGAAAAGTTTTGAGCCTGAGTGCCTTTGATTGTCATTAATGTCTTGTATTCGCTAATATCCTTAGTAGTATAAATACCGATGAAAACATTTGAAGAAATGTCTACAGTATGTGGGCAGTCTGGACCTACATTTACCACCATCAAACATTGGAGTTGAGAATTCAAGTATGGTAGGCAGTCGCTGGAAGCACTCACCATACAGTCCAGACCTGTTCCCCAGCGATTACTTACTATTCTCCGATTTGATGAAAAACCACCGCAAACGAAGATTTCGGAGTGAAGAAGAAATGAGGGCGGCAGTAGCATTTCGAAGACAAGGACGGCGAATATTTTTTTACTGGCCGTTTTGAAAAATGTAAGAATTTCATTAAGGTAGAGGGAGATTGTATAGAAAAATCAAATTTTTATACATATATATAAGCTATATTAATACTTTAGGCTCAAAACTTGTCAGCCTCTCCTCGTAAGTACATACATATGTATACATATGTATATGAAAGGGTCACCAGTACGCAAGACATTGCTGCGAATGCTTGCAGATATTTGTTACCAGTATAACCTGTTTGGCAACCAACTAAACCGTTTGGAAGTCACTACAAACAGTTGCTCAGAACTGTTACAACACCAAAGTAACTAGGGCTGAATTTGTAATATATGTAAATATGTAATAAGAAAACTCACAAGCTACGTACATTTGTATGTATGGACAAAGTAGTATTTACATACTACATTAGCGAAGTTGTGATGGTCTAAATGAGGGACACAATTTGCTGTTAGTTTATTCTATTTCTTTCTTAGTATATACATAAATACATAAAAAAAATTGTGTGTGTCAAGTAGACGCAATTTATTGCAACATGTTCTTTTAAATAAGGCAATTAAATTTAGAACGAAAAAAAGAAATGCTCAATAAAAAAAATAATTATAAAACACGTTTTGCAGAAGTTATTGCCACATTTGTTTACCTGCAACAATGCGGCCACAACGCCATTCACAATGAAAAATGGAAGATGCGCGCCATTGCAGGCATACTACACACATATGTACATATTAGCAATGGAGATACAGGAAAGTCAGAAATTGGGTCACTCGCGTGCCAACGCGCCAATATACAGTGATTCAAACAAGTGACCAAGTATTGATTTTTTTTTTTAATATTCGTAATGTTCTTGGAGCTATTTTTTTGTCATTTTTTTTATAAAAATACCGTTCAAGCTTTAAGCAAAACCATATTGACGCTGAAAAAAAAACCTCAGCGAAGAAAGACGCGTAAAAATAGATTTATAGCCGCGAAAATAAGTTTACGCGCTTTTCATCGCCTTCAACTATGTTAAGAGTCTTTTTCGCCGAGGTTTTTTATGCGCCTTTTTTCGCGGTTAACTTTTGAGCTCGCACCTTTATTCGTGTCTAGTGACGATATACAAAATAAGAGTTAATAAAATTGTATACAAAAACGTTATACAAAATTTAGGAGAGTTCAGCAAATTTTCATCAAAATTTCAACTTTTTAATCTGAATTTTTAGAAAATTTTTGGGTAGGCAGTTTTATAGCGCATACAATTTAGGTATAATGGAGTGCAAGTTTCAACCGGCTAATCGCGTTTATTTTTGAGATTTTTTCTTTTTTGTTTTTCGGAAACTGCTTTTGCGTTTTTTTTTTGATTTTTTGAAATTTTGTTGCAAACGGTCTCCTGCATTTTATTTCATAAGAAATTCATGCTTATATGGAAAAAGAGCAAAAATCCGCCACCAAAAAAAAAAAAATCTCAAAAATCAACGGAATTTGTTTGCTGTTTGAAACTTGCACTTCGTTAGACTGAAATTATATTGGCTATAAAACTTCATACTCAAAAATGTTCTAAATATTCATATTTAACTGTTGAAATTTTGATAAAAATTAAAATTTTTTATGAAGTTTGAAACTGTGATTTATATGATTTTGGTTAAAGCTTGGACATTTTTTTATAGCAAAACATCAAAAAAGATAACCCGAAAAACATTAATTATGAATATTAAAAAAAAAAAAATCAATACGTGGTCACTTGTTTTAGTCACTGTAAATAAATAAGTAAACATGCACTCTATTAAACAAACATAAGAACAGACACATGTGTATGTATGTAAATGTACTAGTCAATATAAAGCGATATCGTACAATGTGTTCGCTAAATGAATTATTGTCCAGCCAGCATTGGTAACAATGCCACCGTGCCGCCTAACTAACCTAACTAACAGTAGCTACACGACG